ATTTCTCCAATAATATAACTACATTGTCATAATATTATTTGTTTTCTTAGTCTTATAATAAAAATAACGAATATTTCTAATGTTTTTCATATAAATTGCATACCCATTGGGTCGACCTGCCCCGACCCGCGACCCGTAATCAATTACTCGATCTTGACCCGCCCTACCACGGGGCGGGTCTGGGTACCAAGAAACCCGCCCCGGACCTGCCCCATTGCCATTCCTAGACCATATGGTGCCCAATAATGTACCATCAATCATCATCGTCTTCGTTGCATATTAAATTTCATTTTTCATTATTAAAGTGGAAGTTTATATTTATCTATATATAGAAGTCGAAGTCGAAGTCGAAGTCGTGTGTAGCTAAGCTAGGTAAGGTTGCACATTCCATTCTTGCCATAGTGAGCCACGTGTGATGTCACATGCCGTTAAAGCAGAGGCAGGCCAGTGTAACCCTCTCATCCTCAACGTACGCCTAACTCCATCAATCTAACAATAATATATAATAATATTTATCACAATTGATTAAAGACCACTCCATCTATTCTATCCCCACAACTTGATTCTGTTCACTTTATTTGTTTTTAGGGGACAGAAAGATAAGTGTTGATGGCATGCAGCAATGTACTCTTCATTTTTGGTATTTTCCTATATACATAATTCATCCCCCTGCCTTTTTTGGTTTTTTTCTTGATATAGATGTCGTGACTTTGTTCAAATGGATCCAGAAATTTTTCGTGTTTCAGAATGCAGGAGTTTGGGCGACCGTGTATACTTTTATTAGACTTAGTTTTGCTATAATTAATGAACTGGGGCATAAATTGTATCTCGATTACACACTAATTTTTTATAGACCTTTATTTGTTCTGATTCCACGTTAATAAAAATAGTTCAAATAATAATAATTATTATTATTATACACCTTGCTGCTCTTCCACGTTTTTTCCCCATTCTTCAAGCTACCCCTATTCTTCTAGATTTAAATTCAGTTTTTTTTTGTTTTTGTTTTGGAATAAGGGTGTTTTCATCCTCTTTAGACCAATCCATGACCATGCATGTTCAGTAGTAAGTAATAAGATCATAAATAACATCAAGATTCGTAATCTAGTTCTGTAAGAGGAAGGCTCGAGTTTGTAATCAGACCACCATATGATCAGCTCTAGTATATGTTGGGTTGGTAACAAATATTCAAATAGTTTCAACTTTGATGTCTGATGAGATTGGTCGAGTACTTCAGATTGACACTAGCCTTCCAGTTTCCATATGTCTTTTTTAGGATAATAACTATTTATTAGTCAAACTCATCGAAATACTAAGAAATTAGTTAAATGTTAATTTTCAATTAGTAATTTTGTTAGTAATATATATTGACTTGGCAATATGATACTGATTTGGAAGAGACAAATGAATGTCAACATTTTAAAATTTAATATTTTAACTAAGAAAAGAGTTACAAAATTATTAATGATAACGTAAAAATGACTAATATTTTGATGCATTACGAAAGATTTGGCTAATTAATAGCATTTTAATAAATTTGGATAATATAAAAGATGTGGAAAAACGTTTGGATAAAAAAGAGAGATTACTTTTTTATATATATAATGTTCTGACAAAGGAGGACAACTTGAAGAATCTATATTCGTGAGCGATAGTAAGTTTTTTCAAGCTGCAAAATCAACCGAGAAGCAAATATAATGTACGGTGAAGGGTTTGGTGATAGATTTGGATACATGTTCATTGTTTGTTTCAAGTATTTAGAGGTAACAAATTCGTGAGACTCATGAATTTTGAATGTTCAAATCCGTGGCCCCACGGACTTGAAAATTCCACATCTTTAGGTGGAAATTGATCGTGGACTTTGAAGTCCATCATTTTTTACCAACCTACCCCTCATGTTTTCTTTCTCTTCTTATATCATTGAGGACAATGAAGGTAAATTTCACTTCGTACATACAAATTTAATTAACAAAATCCATCATGAAATCCATGAAGCAAACATAAGTGTTTTTAAAATCCATAATAAACCCAAAACTCTCATATATCCATAATTTTTCAAAACCCAAGTGTCAGAACAGAAGCGTGGCAATCGATAATCCAAACCAACACGAACGAACACAAATTTAACGTGGTTCACTAACACAATGTGTGCTAGCTAATCCACGGGCAAGGGAGAACAAATTTCACTGATTTGAGGAGAGTAGAGGTTACAAACCAAATTCCAAACGGACAAACCAAAAAACTAACCCGACTGACCTTACTACATACTAGGGTGATGAAGAGTATTTATAGAACTCTTCTCCTAATCCCAAACAGAAAACCAAACACCTTTTCCCAAACATACAAGGAAAAGGTCATAACAAAACCCAATCCCAAACCCAAACAGAATAGGCCTAAAACACAAAACAAACCCAAATCAAATTCAAGTCATATTCTAACAATCTCCACCTTGACTTGAATTCTCTCTCAAATACAAGATGTACCAGACGCAACCAAAGTTGCCAGATGTACCAGATGTGATCGAAATCACCAAACTCAAACGCGATGCAAATCGCCAAACTCAGATGCAATCAGAATTGTCAAACGTACCAAACTCCTCCAAATCAGCTGTAACAAAATCTCCCCTGCCTCCAAATGCCCCTAAGGGCGGTCAACAACTGAAACCATTCGGCAAGTCCAACCCATGCTGAGACTTGCCATTCAAAACCAGCTTGGTGCACTTATCACCAACATAACCTGTCAAAACAGAACCTTGTAGATTATACAAGGCACCCCGTTTGACACCTTTCAAAATCTCCTTAGAACCTTTGTAGACAGACAACACTCCACCTTCACCTTTGAAACTGAAACCCTTGCTGTCGAGTAGACTCAAAGATATCAGATTCTTAGTCATCTCTGGAATATGCCTAACATTGTTCAAGGTGCGAACAGAACCATCATGTGTCCTCATCCTGATGGAGCCTCTTCCAACAATATTACGGATATCACCATTGGCCATAAAAACATGTCCTCCATCTATCTGCTCATAAGTTGAAAAATACTCCCTGCTTGAACACATATGATAATCAGCTGCAGTATCCAAATACCACACATCCTGATGATGTACCTGCTCATTCACTGCTAAGGCTAAACCATCTTCAGAATCAGAGTTAGTTTCTTCCGCCACAGCAGCAGATGATTCCTTCTTCTCCTGATATTTCTTTAGCTTAGGACAATCAAATTTCCAATGTCCTTTCTCCTTGCAGTAATGACAGATATCATCTTTCAAACCAGCAGAATTCGAATTTGTATTCGCCTTCCCATTACCAGATTGTTGTCTCCTACTACTCGTAGCAGCCAACCCAGATGCCTGATTTTTCGAACCAGAACCAGACGCCTTATGTCGAACCTCTCTAGTATGTAGAGCAGATCTGACATCTTCCAAAGACAAACTATCTTTCCCAGCAATAAAAGAATCCACAAAATTCTCATATGATTGTGGCAAAGATACCAACAGAATTAAGGCAGCATCCTCATCATCTACTTTAACATCAATATTCCTCAGATCCAACAAGATAGTATTGAGTTGATCTAGATGATTCCTGAGAGACGTACCTTCCTCCATACGCAAACTGAACAAACGTTGCGTCATATGAAACTTGTTGGTTAAAGACTTTGTCATGTATAGACTTTCAAGCTTCAACCACAAGCCCGCAACAGTCTTCTCAGTAGCAACCTCAATGATGATGTCATCAGCCAAACAAAGCAAGATTGTAGAGTGAGCTTTCTCCTTCAAAGTAATCCACTCTTCTTCATCTATACTTTCCTTCTTCAATTTTCCAGACAGCGGAGCCCACAAACCCTGTTGTTTCAACAGTGCTTGCATCTTGATCTGCCACAAACTGAAACTGTTTCTTCCGGTAAACTTCTCAATCTTCATACTGATAGCAGCCATTCTTACTATCAAACAAACTCCAACCAAACTCCACAAAGCAAAACTTCAGTCCAATGCCAAATTCCCAAAACCGCAACCAAAGGCTCTGATACCACTTGTCAAACCGGGGTGCTCAATTGGTACGATATTGTCCGCTTTGGGCCAAGCCCGCACGGTTTTACTCTTGGGTGTCCTCCCCAAAAGGCCTCGTACTAATGAGCTTGGTGGACACTAATATACAAGGGTTCCTTCCCTTGTATTACCGATGTGGTACTTGGGTTGTCCCATAACAATCCTCCCCTCAAGCCAAGGACCACGAACTTCGTGTCCTCACCTCAGCAATTATCTTGATCCGCCAGACGCCTTGTATCGATGGGCTTCTCGGTACAAGGAATTTACCAGACGCAGAACTCTCTTTGATCTGCTTCCCAACCGCGGAACTCTCTTTGATCCGCAAAAGCCCAAACGTGGATCTCTCGTGGATCCACCAAACATACGCGAATCGCAAATCCTGAGGCCACTAAATGAGGGTCCACCAAACTGACGTCCACCACCCCGAACCGAACCAGGCTCTGATACCACTTGTCAAACCGGGGTGCTCAATTGGTACGATATTGTCCGCTTTGGGCCAAGCCCGCACGGTTTTACTCTTGGGTGTCCTCCCCAAAAGGCCTCGTACTAATGAGCTTGGTGGACACTAATATACAAGGGTTTCTTCCCTTGTATTACCGATGTGGTACTTGGATTGTCCCATAACACCAAGTTATACCAAAACCTTCATTTTTCAAATCTACGAAACAAACTATCTCTAAGAACTCTACAATAAAGAATCTATGGTTATTGGACAATTCGTGATTTTATTATTTCGTTGGAAATGATGTACTCCTCTTGGTCCTAGCTAGATAACAATCATCATATATGATGTCATTATTGGACTATTCCACAATTGTGTTTTATGCAGTGAAGTCTCATTTATTATCAAACCTAAATCAAGTTAGTGTTAGAGTCCTGCTTGTATGGGTTGGGGGAGGCTCAATCATGTTTTATGGAATAGTAGGTGGCCGCAATAACATTGACAATTCATAGCAACTAGCAACTAAGCCCGCGCTCCGCTGCGGATAATGCGTGAGTGACTCCAAGTTATCATATGAAAATTATAATTAGTTACAGATTTGACAAACAACAACGTAAACATTTTAATTAATATCATAATATTAATAAATAAACACAACAAATAATTATAATAATTAAGAAGCAACTACATATAAATACATATATGCAAAGTACAAACCATTTTACATTAACATTAGATAGAAACACAATAAATTATTAACAAAACATACAAAATATTTAAAAAATGCACTCCAACAAATTCGAGTAATAGCACTTGAAATGCTCATTATTAATGAACCGGATTGTTTACAACAACAAAAAAACAACGTTCATTGACAGACAATCATGGCATATACATAATAATACTTTCTATGTCACAATTGCGTATTGACAAAAGGAAGAAAAAGTTGCAATTATTATGAATATGAATTTACCGACAAAAAAATATTAACAATTTACCAATAAATATTTTACCTGATATGATTATTCAACAAAACAACAACCAATGTGCGCACACAGTAACGGACCATGGTTCATGACATCAATCCTTAGTTGTCCAACTCCACGCGGAGTCTTCAATTCCACAAAACAAATCCTCAAGATGAGATTGTTTTTTATACCAAAAAATGTAACATGCGCTCACAGTATGTTGACAAATTGGTACCTAGAATTTAAAAAATTTATTTTAAAATATGTAAAAGTAGGAACATTACAAGATTGCATTTGATCTTCGATAAAATAAATACTGTTGCATAGAATATCATTGGAATTCGTGCATAACATAATTTAATTTTTTTTCTTTGCAATGAAACGAACAAATCTATATCTATATATTGTTAGCAAAGTCATTCTACAAGTATCATAAACATTTTATACCTATGCCAGCACAATCTTTGATACACCAACAAAAACATATTACTTCAACCACTTGTGTCGCAGGATGTCAGATATTCACGAGGGTCACCCTTACCGCCTCCACCCAAATGATAATCATTCTATGGTGTTAATATCCACGACTCTCAACGGAGAAAACTATGGATATTGGTCTACTTCAATGCAAACAGCATTGTGCTTGAAGAATAAAATTTCATTCATTGATGGAAGCTCCGAAAGACCGTTAGGCATCGACACGGTGTCTCTTGCATGGGATGAAGCTAACGCAATGGTAAAAGGATGGATATACCAGTCCATTGATCCTAGCATCGTAAAAAGCTTGCCATGGTTTGAATCTGCCATGGAAGTGTGGGAGGATCTGAAGAGCCGCTTTATTATAGCAAGCACGGCAGAGGAAGCAGATCCTTGCAAGATGAAGGATTACACAATCATCGTTCCATGCTCGTGCTTTTTTGTAACCATAAGCCCCCAGTTCCTCACCCAACATAAAATGGTAAGTTATTTTATGTTATATCCTTTTCTATAGCAGCGCACCCATGTCGTCAAACTTCCATAATTGGTAAAATTATAACTCTGAATCGTCTGATTTTGTGACACCAGGATATTCCATTGAATTTTACTCACAAATATGGGTCGGAGCTCTCATCACCGACAATTTTTCAATTACCAACGGGAGATTCTTGGATAATCGGAGTTAACAGGGAAGCAGACACACAATCATTATTTTTCACTGATAATTTGCACCAATTTATGCAACATTATTCAGTAACTATTGGTTGTGTCCTCCATTTTAAATACACTGGCATGAGTAATTTTACAGTCAATATATTCAACCTCAATGGTCGCTCGTTCTTTAACTCCGATATCGGAAAAAAGAATAACACAGAAGTCATCAGAGAAAAAAATGTGGCCACTCTAAGCAGCAATCCAAAAGATATTGGCGCGACTGCACGTCATTCGATAAAGTTGGCGGTAAAAGGCACAGAAAGAATTCGACAACCAGATGATGGTAAGTACACTATCACTATGGTTCAACCATATTTCTCTTGATTTTTAAACTACTATTCAATAACGGCACATCTTCATCTTCACAATTATATACGTACTAATGTTTTGAAATAATACATTACAGAACATTTCAGCGCGGTCATGAAACTTGGAATAGAGAAGGGAATCTACTCAACTCGAATCCTGCGTCTATCAATGTACGATCCACTCATAAGGTGTAGGAGGCCAATAATAGAAGCAATACTATCAGACCCCAAATATCCGTCATACATAACAGTCATGACCCGTACACAAATCACAGGCCGCACAAAACCCGTAATACAATTACTCTACATCATATCAAATATTATCAATTGCACACGTTGAATTAATTTAATTAGTTATATTTCATTGGTGTAGCTCGTGCCTCGTGACTTCGTAAAAAAATACATTACGGACGAATGCGACAATGTATTCCTCGTTGCAAGGGGTACCAAGTATAACATAAGATTGAAGAGAAGAAGCGAGTCCAGTGTAAGGCTCATTGGCAGAAATTGGCTTTCATTTTGCTACGAGCATTCACTACAAGTTGGCGACGTTTGTCTATTCCAGAAAGTGGATTCCATTGATTTTATTTTGGAAGTTAACATTTTTCGTGCTTAGCAGATAATTCATCAGCGCATGAACAGAGATCTCTAGTGGTTTGGTGTGTCTGGTTCGAAAGTTATGTCGGTTACAATAATATACAATACCATTCTCTTTACGTGCTTGCAAAAAAATATGATGCATACGTATGTACCATTCCTGTCACGCATATTTATGTAATAGCTGAGGAAAATTTTAGATAACAAACTATGACAAAATATTGATAATTAAAATGTTTATCTCAAGAAATATAACTTGTAATTGTTTAAACTTTTTTACAAATAGTTGTAGTCCACTACGATAAACTGGTATAATTTTCACTGGTCGAAAAGGCTAAAGCCAATACCATGATTGTTTGATCATTTATACTCGTACATGTACATACACATCCACAAAATGTCGTGATTACAATCAATGGCTCAGACCAAAATGAAGGAAAAGATGGATGCCAATATAGACATAAAAAACAACAACAGTCACGTCAAAATTAATTTTCATCAGATCGACGCATTTTTTTAGCAAATACAAACAGCATTACATGGACAAAATACAATATAAAGTAGATACAACCCGTAACTACTACAACCAAATCACAACGACTAACCAACCTACCAAACTGATAAAAGATACCCTCCGAAGGAACCAATATCCTCAAAGGACATTCGACACCCAACAGAAGCCAGATTCATGCCCACCTTGCAATGAGCAGTGGTTCACGGATTTAACTTACGACGACACGTTGAACAATTTCCAACAACAATTAACATTCTGGTTAAACGACTAACCATAATCGTCACATATATAATGAAGAAGCAAAGCAAAAATGTAAAAAGTCAATTCCCAAAAACAACAATTCATACACGAAGATCATCGTTCATTGACAACAATATTAAAAAATATCCCAAAGATACATTAAACAACAGAAACACGTACTACCAAACCCCCTCCAACCATGCTCTAGTTCTGAGATCTTTGGATTGCCAAAATTGCAACCTCCATCTGGAAATAAAAGGACGAGCTCAATAAATTGTCTATACTTTCAGAAAGTGTAAAATAAATATATAACGGAAAATTTTCTACCTCAAGTACACTTCCTAACTTGTTGCGAAGAATGCAATATTCTCGAGTGACATCATTAGCAACACGTATACTCCTGTAAAAAAATACAGAGATGCTTTGAGGAATGAACTATGCAACCCACACACCCAGAAAATTGTTTTGATATTCAAGAATACGGTGAACTAACCTATCCTTGTTTCTGTCAATGCATGCTTGAAGAAGTTCGTCACAAACAACCTTCAGCCGACGTGCCCCAATGCTAAAAATACAAAACAACACAGATTAAACTTTACAACACACACTGAAACACCTGTGGAAAATGACGAACAACATTAAAAAAAGAAAGTTCAAGATCCCAACGTGGAGCTACTGCCTCTAATTTGATGCAATGATTCTTCCATTTTAGAAAAATTCACGTCAACAGCACCTCTGCAAAACGCACGGACAAAAAATTAATAACCGGCGTTTTAAAATTTTGGCGACCATAATGACACAAAAAAAATAGACGGAATTACAATACAAGGTACGAAAAATAGCCAAACATCATACAAATCCCTGTTGATCTCCCTGACGATCCTATCACCATCGCGACAAAAAGAGTTGATAACTTCAGCTACGAATTCAGGATTAGTAGCATCCTGGAGAGCCCGAACTTGGGAAAACTGATGGTCCAAAATTCCCTTCAACACAACATGAATTTACAAAGATTGAAAAAAAACGAATCAATGATGGGCTAAGTAACTAAACCAAAGAAATAAAGACGTGTACCTCATCGATCATAGATTGCACAAAGTGTTTTAGCTCCCTCATGCGAGAAAACAATGACATTTTGGTGTTTCAGTTTCGCAAATGAAGCGTTTTTTTACTGCAAACTGACATATGCACTACTCTGGGATATATTTCAAGATCACGAGCAAAATATACATTATTATATAGCAATACGTACATGAAATTGGCCATCCAAAGAAAGATGAACGATTTGACATGTTCGACAGGATACTTTAATCAAATAATTGCAACTATTTTTTTTTTTACTCTAACCTTTTTAGTCTTTCCTATGTCGATCATAGACTCACAGCGAATAGTAGCACTACTTTTTATATGGGATGCCTTATAGCTTTCCCAGCATACTTGTTTCTCCTTTTCCTTTCCATCAGTTCCCTCTTCTCTTTATTTTCTCTTTTCTCCCCATCCCCAATAGATGCACTAACTTTACTAAATTTTACCAAACTATTTCTTCATTACAAAAAAAAAAAGAGCTACCACAATAAGTGCACCACATGCACCCCTTGTCGACCACGCAAACCGACAATCCATGTAGATCTACATGTACTTTTCGATCCATCAATATTCGGTCAATGTTAAAATGAAAAAGCATAAATTAACAATATTATAACCTGTATACTATTAAAATAACCATAAACTTTGCTAATTATCCAAATTAAGTTGTAAAATATCAAAGGTAAGTTCACATGAACTTTTAACGTGACCATCCGCAAGAAAAAAACTTCAACTACAACTCTACAAAGAGGACCATCTCCTAATATATATATATATATATATATATATATATATATATATATATAACATTTGATAAAAAAATGCCATAAAAAACACAAGGTCACCAAATTTTGACAGAAAACACACAACAATAACAACCGCTTACAATGTGATACATAACAAAAAGACATAACCACAGAAAACGAGGAATTACATCAAGATAGTACCGTCTACCACGATTGATCATTTGGATACCATGCCTACGTTGACAATAAAGATATAAATAATGGATCCCATATACAACATACAATATATGCAATAAAATAATCATATGCCCCAATATGTACCCAGGTCATCTGATTCAGTAGACTTCGCAACCAAATTGCTAGCAAAAGTCAGCACAACAGAAGATAATAATTCACCTATGCCAGCAAGTTCTCCAATATAATGATCATGTTTACCAATGTACTCATTGGTTACAAACCTATTCCTGCACATCAATTGGAAAAAATTAAAAAACATCAAACGACAAACATAATAAATCACCGGAAGTACGAACAATGACCTTGAATTCTTGAGAACAATATCAAATGACATGCATCTATTTGAGATATTGTGTTAATCCGACCAAGAAAGAACACGCCTACTTACATATGAAAATAGACAAATGTTAGCGTCCAATTAAAGATATTTAAACTTAACAAACGAAAAAATCACCTGCCAAGTGTTGCGAATCATAACACATTTGTACCAAATCCTCAAATTGTGTGTCCCTAAAATCATCAAAGGGAAATAAAGCCAATCTCGGCGGATTGTTGTTAGGAATTTCGACAAATGACTGGGTTCTTGTCAAACGAAATCGCAAATCACACGGAGCATTTCGCAGTGGATTTCCTGTAGTCCTGGCCAGGATCAAGGGCACAAGTTTCATGTTGTATATCCCACCAACAGGAATAAGGGCACCAACAACACCACTATCCCCAGGGACGGCAACACCTTCAATGATGTCCTCCTGCATCCGAAAACTCATACAAATCATCACAATAACAAGCAACTCGAACATGTAAATAAACCACAACAGAAACACAACCTCTCTGTCAACCTAAAATGTATACATAACAGGATGACTGTTCATACAGACACACTCTTTTGCCGTCCACATATGAATAAGTCTCGCGACAATATGAGTATCCACAACAGATCCACCCAGCTGACGAATGATCACCGAAGTTATGATAGGATCTACAAAAATACAACATCCATTATTTCGTGGTTGAGACAGACAACAACATGTGCCACATACACAGTTATTCCAATTAAAAAAATTTACCTTGCATCAAAGTTGGCTAAAGATAATCCATCGACATGACAAGAAACAATCTACCAAGATACAAAGTCACAAATGAACATACATTTAAAGAGAAGGGAGCTGCTGTGAGATGGCAAGAAAGGACGACACCTGGAAAGAGATGACGGTTATGGAGTGAGCTGCTTAGAGAAGCTGAGAAAGAAAAGGGCTTTAGAGGGTTTGTTTGGGTAGAAAAAGACAAAAGCATTTGAGGAAAATAGGAAATATTAGGGTGGGGTTTGTAAATAGAATAGTATATTTACTGTTGTGGCCATAATGGATTTGGTTGACACGCTAAGTAATCGAGGAGTCTTTATAATTACTAATTAGATAATTAGTAATTATGAATTTGTCTATTACATCTCACGATTTGGTCGTAAGAAATTTATTATATAATTTAAATTAGTATTTGATTTTTAGCGATACAAAATGGTTGAACCACATATAAATCATATTTTCAACATAAAATATCACGTCCAGACTTTTCCTGCACGCCTTTCAATATAATTTTACAATCTTTGATTTTTATGCTCATTGCAATTAAAACTTGATTTCATATGTTCAAAATTCCATTGAACTTCACAAGCAAGGATTACTTGGAAACTAAATCCTCAATTACTAATATTTGCTTTACATCTTACAACGGATCAATTTAATTTAGTGATCTCCAACTTAATTGGTTATTTTTTTACCACTCTTCATGTCAATTAGACGAATCAAATCTAATAGCAAAGAAATTGTGTGGCAAAACTTTCTAGTTATTCATAACAACCTTACCTTTTTTATATAGCTTACTCGAGAAATAAGTGAAGAGCATACCACAAAAGGAGGTGAACGTCAACTACAACCTTACACATGTATATTTAATACATAAACATAACACCATCCACACAAAATCGAGGTATTGACGTAAAATACTATAAAATGTACGATTAAAACAATTAGAACAAACAGAAAACAAATGTACAAATCCTCCCATGCATAAAATGTCTTTGAGAACTGTTTGCTTTATAATAACAACCATATTTCAGAAACGTACAACACACTGTATATAAATAGTAAGTTGGACTTATCATCGTCCATAATAAATGAGTTTCAAGTCTTAAACTTATGCTTGTTTTGTCTTCCTACGAGCAGTACCGCAACATGCAACATAATAATTGACCACCGACATTAACTTGCTGAAATAGCCAAATTTATTTTCTTTCTCCTTCCCTTTCAGTTCTGTCCCTTTCTCTCCACTATTTATTGGGCCAACATGGGTTGGCTTCAACTTGCTACACGCATGTACCCCAAGACCCAAGTTAGAGAAATTGTGTGGCAAAACTCTCTAGTTATTCATAACAACCTTACCTTTTCATATAGCTTACTCGAGAAATATGTGAAGAGCATACCACAAAAGGAGGTGAAAGTCAACTCCACCCTTACACCTGTATATTTAATACATAAACATAACACCATCCACACAAATACGAGGTATTGACGTAAAATACTATAAAATGTACAATTAAAACAATTAGAACCTACATAAAACAAATCTACAAATCCTTCCATGCATAAACTGTCTTTGAAAACTATTTGCTTTATAATAACAACCATATTTCAGAAACGTACAACACACTGTATATAAATAGTAAGTTGGACTTATCATCGTCCATAATAAATGAGTTTCAAGTCTGAAAATTATATTTGTTTTGTCTTCCTATGAGCAGTACCGCAACAGGAAACATACTAATTGACCACTGACGTTAACTTTCTAAAATAGCCAAATTTATTTATTTCTCCTTCTCTTTCGGTTCTGTTCCTTTCTCGTCACTATTTATTGGCCCAACACGATTTGGCTTCAACTTGCTACACGCCTGTACCCCAAGGCCCAAGTTCGAGAAATTGTGTGGCAAAACTCTCTAGTTATTCATAACAACCTTACCTTTTCATATAGCTTACTCGAGAAATATGTGAAGAGCATACCACAAAAGGAGGTGAACGTCAACTCCAACCTTACACCAGTATATTTAATACATAAACATAACACCATCCACACAAAATCGAGGTATTGACGTAAAATACTATAAAATGTACAATTAAAACAATTAGAACATACTGAAAACAAATGTACAAATCCTTCCATGCATAAACTGTTTTTGAGAACTGTTTGCTTTATAATAACAACCATATTTCATAAACGTACAACACACTGTATATAAATAGTAAGTTGGACTTATCATCGTCCATAATAAATGAGTTTCAAGTATGAAAAGTGTGCTTGTTTTGTCTTCATATGAGCAGTACTGCAACATGCAACATAATAATTGACCACCGACGTTAACTTTCTGAAATAGCCAAATTTATTTTCTTTCTTCTTCCCTTTTGGTTCTGTCCCTTTCTCTTCACTATTTATTGGCCAACACGGTTTGGCTTCAACTTGCTACACGCATGTACCCCAAGGCTTAAGTTCGAGAATTCAAGCAGAAAAAAAGATGCGATGCATGGTTTCACATTTGATGGGTCCGACCGATCAAGACTTTTTTGACCATTTTGATCTGTAACCATTGATTTATTGGTTGGTTGTTGCTCTGCCCGTCTATAGACTGAAGACTGTCCATCCACTTGCCGTCGTAGATGTATAGGTGAGAAATACCTACATTATGATGGAATTTGTTTCTTATAGTAACAAAAAAGTTATAACCATAGTTTAGAGTTTATGTTACGTCGATTTATTCTACACAGTCGCTTCTGCTTTCTTTTACTAACTATTATTTGACGAACGATACCTACTATACATCTTCCTCCCTTGAATTTATTGTAACCAAATCGGTGCAATCATCCCCTTATTCTTGTTGGATTTAACTGATCTTTTTGTATAGCTCATGGTTTTCTTTCGAATAAAATAACTGTGTCCATTAACATTGTACATGGGCCAGACAAAAGAAATTATTGATATTAATTCATTTTATTATATCTCCTTCCAGTGAAAAAGGTAATCTGTTTTGCTAAGAGTTACTCTCAAGTCAGTGATCAAAATTTATATCAAAAGTCACGTTTCGATATTCAAGCACCAAAGAGACCGATAAGAGTAATTAACCTTTAAAGATAGGAGCGTTTTATAGGAATAAAAATGGACAGCTATTTGGTGGTACAAGCACATGCAATGGCATTACACGTATCTAATAATACTTGTATTGTACATCAACAACATACACCAACCATAGGGACCCGAGCATAGTATATGTCTTTTTCGCATTGAGTACAAGCAGATAAAACAAAAAAGAGCTCACCTAGACGACATCAAAAGCCTCCTACAATGCATGTACGGGAAAACAATAGTGCACACTGACTATAGGAACCCAATAATAGTGTACGTCCATTTCATATTGAATACAAGAAGATAAAATAGAGAAGAAGACCCAAGCATAGTGTACGTCCCTTTCATATTGAATACAAGCAGACAAAATAGAGAAGAACTCACCTAGTACCCCAAGGCCCAAGTTCGAGAATTCAAGCAGAAAGAAGATGTGATGCATGGTTTCACATTTCGATGGGTCTGACCGATCAAGACTTTTTGACCATTTTGGTCTGTAACCATTGATTTACTGGGTGGTTGTTGCCCTGCCCGTCTATAGATTGAAGACTGTCCATCCACTTGCTGTCGTAGATGTATAGGTGAAAATACCTACATTCCGATGGCATTTGTTTCTTATAGTAACAAAAAAGTTATAACCATAGTTTAGAGTTTATGTTACGTCGATTTCTTATGCACAGTCGCTTATGCTTTCTTTTACTAACTATTATTTGACGAACGATACCTACTATACATCTTCATGCCTTGAATTTATAATAACCAAATCGGTGCAATCATCCCCTTATTCTTGTTGGATTTAACTGATCTTTTTGTACAGTTCACGATTTTCTTTCGAATAAAATAACTGTGTGTCGTAACCTTGTACATGGGCCAAACAAAAGAAATTATTGATATTAATTCATTTTATTATATCTCCTTTTAGTGACAAAAGTAATATGTTATAATTGCTAAGAGTTTTACTCTCAAGTCAGGAATCAAAATTTATATCAATCTTAATACATACATACATACATATATCATTACCTCAATTTCATATGTCACTCACTACAAGAAATGTTTGGCCAAAAAGAAAGTCTGACAAGAACAAACAGAGATTAGGAGACATGATCTTATCAACCTGGAAGGGAAAATAGTAGAAATGAAACAAAACACAAAGAGATCGACAAGAGTAATTAACCTCAATAGGCCATGGAAGAGCGAACAAAAGAACAGAAAATGAAAAATAGGAAAGAAGCGAAGAACAATAAATCATAATCTGATCGAGAGGCCACGCAAACATGACAGCACGACAAAGACCAGAACGGTTGTTCTTATCCGAATCAATTTCTTAGTTGATTTTCGCTTCGGTCGCTACCTCCAAATATCACAGGGTCACAATCCATCGTCGATGCTCTGTGCCTGGGTGTTCCTTTAGATTCAAGCTTCCCTGGAAGTAGATCGGTGGCGGTTGGAAATTGGAAATTGTTCGTACGATTCTTTGCTCTAAGTTCAATTTGTTGTTCTCTTTTGCATGCAAATTTTAGCCAAAGCGTTTCTGAGTTTTTTTGAACCATGAATTGGATGTTGATCGCGATTCATGCAGGTTCTAAGTAGCTGGCTAAAATTTGATTTGAGTAAGTACCCAGAATATTTAGCATATTTATCCAGCTACTGTAATATTTAGTTTATGGCTGAATCTTGATTTAGGTAATCGAAAGTGACAACAACTTTCATGTACATTCACCATAGCACAAGAAGTATGAGCATATTTTTTGAATGATACAGTGGACTTTATTTGGCAATGAATAAACAGACAACAAAATTGCGCGAGTTCGGCGAAGAAAGCGAACTCTTCGCCAATCTCCAGAAGAGTGGTCAACGAGGACCTGGTGATGAAGCACTCCGACCAGCTAAACTCCGTCGTCAGGTACCGGTCACGTCGAGACGTGCCTCAGCCTTTCTACATGCAGCTCCATGCTACCACCGTCACCATGTGCCCTTCATGCTAGTGCGTCACCACGGCCAACACCTCCACCGCTTTCGTCGCTCGCGCATCCACCTCCCCCAGCCCAATCACCATCGTGGTGGCTGTTGCCACAGACGACACCAACAATTCATCAACAACATTGTCTTTCGGTAAACCTGGCGGTGGCGGTGAAAGAAATGGCAGCAACAGTATTGTGTGCATCAGCTCCACAGCAACAGCCTCAACCTACCCAACCAGTCGCGTCATGACTCAAAAAGGAAGGCTACAGCTCCTGATAAACCACATGAAATGGTTGGGGATAATAACAATGAATTCCATGAAATGAACATCCCATGTACAATTATGCAACCGTAGAAGAAACAAGTAGAAAAAGAAAAGAACGAAAGAGCACCCAACGGCTCGAGAAAGGATGAAAATTGTGGGAAATCCCCTTGAAAGATATGAACGGTTTTATAGGAATGGAAATGGACAGCTATGTGATGATACCCATTCACATTGTAAGAAGATAAAATAGTGAAGAAGACCCAAGCATAGTGTACGTCCCTTTCATATTGAATACAAGAAGATAAAATAGTGAAGAAGACCCAAACATAGTGTACGTCCCTTTCATATTGAATACAAGCAGACAAAACAGAGAAGAACTCACCTAGTCGCGTCCGCAGGGGAGAATCTCCTCCTTAGCTACAGTTCGCTTCCGTTCAAAATTATATGTTATAATTCATTCTATTTTTTATAGACACGTATGAAGGAAAGGATACTTCCTATTTATTAATACCTTTATCGAGGAGGGGCCAATCTTTTCTTGCAATGCCAGATCTTTGGTTGTGGAGACGGCCGCCTGCCTGTCGATCGGAGACAGGGAGTGGGTTTTATGAGATATATAGATTTGGAATTTTAAAGGGAAAAATCCGCTAGTTTTTTTATCAGTTTCTAAATAGAGAAGAAAAATTGCACGTAGATCATATTGAAGAAGATGTTGGGTATTGGACTTGAAATCAGTGACGCTGAAGGACTTCTAAGCGATGTCGTTTTCCCTCAAAAGTCGTTGATGAGCTTAGTAGAGATGACGTCGTTTTAGTTACCACCACTCATGTTTCGTTTTTACTGTATATACATACGTGTCATTTTTTCATTTATAGATAGCTTTAATTTCGGTTTGTTGCCGTTGTAAACTACCCTCCGGTAACTCTCTGTTCCCTTCGTGAAGAAGTAGATAGAGTTGATTTATATATTTACAGGTTGTGGCCACCAAAGACCCTCTACGGGTTCTTTCACAAATATGATCCCTTGCAAAGTTTCACATGGTATCAGAGCATGGTTCATAGAACTAGGGTTTCCTTCACCCGCATTCTTTTTCTTCTTCTTACTAAGTTATGACAACTGCATCTACAGACACGGTTGCTCCCAACGTCACTAGTCCTTACTACGTTAACCCTAATGAATCACTCGTCTTCCCCATTAAGCTTGTTGGTGCTTACAACTACAACCTCTGGAGTAGAACAGTTCGCGTTGCCTTGAAGAGTAAGAACAAATTGGGCTTCATCAATGGGTCGATACCAACACCAGATGCACAAGTAGACTCCTATCATGCTTGAGAACAGAGGAACACCTCAGTGTTGTTCGTGATTTTGGGATCTCTCGACCCAAGCCTTGTCGATGCTGTCTCCACCATTGAAAATGCACAACGTCTCTGGGCAGACTTGAAGCAAAGATTTGGCCAGGCTAACAGCATCATGATCTGTGACCTACAGACCGGGTTATACTCATTGAAGCAAGGTAACATATCTGCAAACCAATTCTATTCTGAATTGAAAGGATATTGGGAGGAATTGGGTCAATTCCTACCTATACTCACCTGCATCTGTGGAGGGATTGCTAACCCTAGAGCTCTATGTATCAGTGAAACTACCATGAGGAAGTATAGGGAGAATGAATTTGTGATGGGGTTCCTTAAGGGGTTGAATGATTCTTATGAAGGAGTGAGAACCAATCTGTTTATGATGAGTCATTTACACATTTGGAGACAGCCTTTCATTATGCTATTCAACATGAGAGACAACTCGCTAAACCAAACCCTGAGTCTCAAATTGAATCTGTGGCTTTACTTGCTGCAAATCAAGTTAAGGGGGAAGGAATTTCCTAAGGGTAACTTGTTCTGCCGTTATTGTAAGAAGGACAATCACGTCATAGCTGATTGTTATAGACTGAAGAGAAATAACTCTTTCAAGGAATCAGGAGGACCTTCTGGATTTACAAGACAACTACAAGGTGCTGAAGGAAATGGTATTCTACCTTTTCCCGAGACAAGGAGTGCTTGAGAATCTGGAGATGGGTACACCAATGTGAGAGTTTCTAACGAGGATTTGAGCAGGATTCATAAGCTGTTTAGCCAATTTAGTCCTCCTGCCTCACCTACTTCACCTAGATCTTAAGGATCACAGCACCATCAGAACCAACCCATGGTGAACTCAGTTACTAGGCACTTAACTGTCAACCCAAACTATGCATATAAATACACATTAAGCTCATACTCTATCAAGCACCCAATGGATCTTGTCAGTGTGTGCTTTCTGGATACAGGAGCAACTGATCATGTACCATGTTCATTGAATCTATTTGAATCCTTTGTGCCCATTCGGAATGCTTCCATAACACTTCCCAATGGTTCTAGAACTCCTGCTACTCATTCTGGAATTGTTAGATTATCAACCAACCTTTTTCTTCATGAAGTTCTGTTTGTAGCAACATTCTCTTTCAATTTGGTTTCTGTTAGCAGACTTGCTAAAATCATTCCTATTTCACTTATTTTTAAATCCAACTTATATGATATTCAGGACCTGCTCACTCAGAAGAAGATTGGTTTTGCCCAAGAGAATAGAGGTCTTTACCAAATCACTAGCTTACCAGAAGGGGAACCATCTATTCTTGTGAATTCCATCAAGACACCAAACCTTACACCTCAATCTTTTGATCTTTGGCACTGGACACTTGGACATCCTTCTTCATCGGAGCCAAGCAATTAAAGAAGTCAATTCCTATAATAGATACAAAAGACATACTTCACTGTGATGTTTGTCATTTATCAAAACAGAAACGTCTTGCTTTTCCTTCAAGCCTTTCTATGGCAGAGAATGTTTTTGATCTTATTCATGTAGATATTTGGGGCCCTTTGGCAGTAATTAGTTAAAATGGATTTCTGTATTTCCTCGTCATTGTTGATGATAGATCTAGATGTGTTTGGGTCTACCTGATGAAACACAAGAGTGAAGCTAGACAGCTCCTTCAAGACTTCTGTATCATGATAAAAAAAATTTGTTCATGATTCCAACAGTGATCAGACACAGAACTGTGTTTGTTATGAAGTGCGCATAAAATGTTCTTTCTACCTTCATAAAAAAACCCTTACCATTGTGACAGGTAGCAACAACGCCAACTTCATTAGTTGGTACACCGTACACTAATACAAACCCTCGACGTTTTTTTTATACAACCATTTTCCAACAAATTTAACAATTCCCTTTATTCTTGCAAACCTCTCAAATGTCTTCATATCAAATATATAAACATCTATTTTATGAAGGTCAAGATGTAAGATATCAAATTTTAAAAAACTCGTTGGGATAAAATGTAGCAAGTTTTGACGACCTTTTTTCATTTGTGTCAAAGTTCACTGAATCTTTTGGATGTAAATATGTCACACAACATAATAATTTCGTATTAATCTCATTGAAGATACCATTAAGTACTTGTAACTGCACCTCCAAAACTATTATACATAAAGCATGCAGTGCACATGTTACTTAGGGGTGGAAATGATGGTAGTTTACAGGGAGATCCCTCATTTGAATTTCACTTCCAAGTAAACACGGGCAACATGTTTTTATTTTCATATGTGTTTCAAATTTCAGGTGTTGCCCGGTAGCTGCGTGGATTGCAAGTTGCAAGTGGCTCTGCTGATGTCACCTATCCGTAATTAGATCAAACTAAACCGTTATAGTATTGATCAAAAGCATAAAAATAACATTAGTTGCAAATTCAATTTTCTATATTAATCTTTTCAATAGCTCAAGAACATGCAAGTTATTGAGATATATATGATACTATGAATTTTTTAGCTAATATTCTTGTTGTTAAGCGTAAGTTGTTAATCGTCTGAACTACTGAAATCGAGTGTGTTACATATCTAGGCACGTTTAGAATTTGTTTTCCGGCGAGAAAACTTCTGTTGAATTGAGATGGACTTGCACCTTTGACTTCTATGGACAACGATTTCTAAGACACGGCTCAAATCTCTTCAAACAAAGTTCGAACGAGGGTGTTTGATTGATGGTTTTTGGGAACAAGATCTAAATTAAATTACTTCTACTCCTATGGAGGTTCGGCGAGAGCTCCAAACTACGAACTACATCTATGGCTACATGATAGAGAAAAGGTAAATGATAAACTTGACATGTGTGTCAGAGTGTTGGTTTTGGAACCCCTTGTCTCTGTCGACCCCTCCTCTTATTTATAGCCACGAGGAGGTAACCGCCAATCCGCCATAGAAAACTGCTTGTTGGATAACTACTACAAAGAACCGCTCCCCCTTCTTCGGTAGAAAACCGCCTCTTGGATAACTCCCAAAAAGAACCGCTCCCTGCTTCCTCGGAGTGGTGGTTACTCCTTCAACCGCCTAGGTGCCTCTCTTGGAACCGTCGTGGGTTTTGGAGTGTAGCTTGCCTCGCCTGGTCTTGTTCTGAATCTCGTGCCATGCTAGTCTTTTGACAAGCATGTATTGTCTCGCAAAGGGGGTCATGGTTCTCTTGCCTCGCGGCCATGGACTTCTTACTCATGTCCATGGTCCACTTGGGACTTAGTCATTACTGATATAGTGCTCCACCACCACGCCCTTCTCATTCGTGTCCATGACTACTCTTGTGAAGTGGCATGGACTTCCCAATCATGCACAAGACCCCTCTCATGAGGTGACATGGCATTTCCATACTTAGTATTTTCAATCATTTCTAATGCTTCTTGCTTCACGTCCATGGCCATCACATGACACGGCCATGGACCTCTTAATCATGCACATGACCCTTCTCGTGAGGGGCATGGCCTTCTCAGACTTAATATATTTTGGATCATGAGGCGACATGGCCTCCTCATTCGCGGCCATGGACTTCTCAGTCATGTATGTGGCCCTCCTCGTGACACAGCATGACCTTCTCATACTTAGTATCTTTTCTTGCGTCCATGCCACTTCTCGTGAAGCGGCATGGACCTCTCGTTGAAGTGGCACATGCTTCTCCTTGAAGCGGCATGTACCTCTTACAGACTTAGTTTATTTTTCAGTCATTCCGTCTTGATCTTGGGGCGGCATGTGCTCCTCGATTTCTAGATGGACATGGCCCTCTTCGCTGAGGCGGCATGTCACTCTTCAGACTTAGTGGCTTGGGCTTAAAATCAATATCCATAAGGCCCAATTTAAACAATATTAATTGTTATAATGAGTGTGGACTTATAAACTCATTGATTATCTTATAACTCATCAATGTGGTACAAGACAAATTTTATGGGGTAAACAGAAAAATAATTTAGGAGGTGGGAAGAAAACTCCAAATGGGTGTAGGGCTGGGGTAGGTGAGGTAATGTATGGGTTTGGCACCGAACTTGCAACGAATAACAATACTCTACGTGGGCTGGGCGTCAAGTATGAATGAGTGAACACCCCTATCCATCCATCTTAGTCACACGCACATGATCTTCTTCCTTCCCTTTTTCCAGTTTTGTTGTAATTAATTAAACTCTCAGTCTG